CTCATTTCAGAATCGACTTCGAATACCGCTACATTTCGTGATAAGTATGCGATGTGAGGAATGAACTTTGCACTCTTGTGCTCATGCACATAGTTAAACGCACTAAAAGCAACACTCCACCTTTGAACTATAGCTTCTGAAGATGTAGCTAATATACTGGCAGGTTTGTAAATAAACTTTAAGGCTTTATGATTTGTCACAATAGTAAATCTAGGACCAAACAAATACTTGTGTAGTCTAGTGGCTACCCAGTATACAGCCAAAGCCTCTCGATGGGCCTGAGCATAGCCCTTTTCAGCATTGCTGAGTCCACGAGAGATACACAGAACAGAGTGCAAATTTTGCTCTAACACAGCATCTCTACCGGTTGGTAAGGCATTTGTAAAAAGCACAGTTGGTAATTTTGGAGAAAAAGTACGAAAAACCCAAACAGATGTAAGCATTTTTAAAAGCTTTCGAAGAACATGCTCATGTTTGTCTTAACAAATAAAGTTCTTGTCATTCAACGACGTAAATAAAGGATCCGTAATGGATGCAAAACTCGGAATGAATGTGTAATAATACTGTAAGGCTCCCATCAGTGATCGAGGCTTATGAATATTGGTGGGCGACTTCACATCAAACAATGGCTTTATCCGAGCAGGATCTAGTTTGAATCCTTCAGATGCAACATGATAAGCAAGACAACTGATCTCTTGGACACCAATTAAGCAATTCTTTGGGTTGATATTCACATTAGCTTCGTTGAAGTGAGTTAAGATTGCAACCAATCGAGCACCATGAGTCTGTTTGTCGATAGTATGCACAAACGCATCGTCTTGATAGAACGCAACACCCTCCAGACCTTACACAATGGAGTTCGTCACCACTTGGAAGATGGCTGGCAACATACTAAGACCGAAGGGGAGAAATCTATACCGGTACAACCCAAATGGCATATTTATGGTGGTCAGTTCACTAGAAGCATCAGTGAGTGGTATCTGCATATATGCATCTTTTAAGTCTGGCTTCGAGATAATCTAGGATCCATGCAGACGAGAAAGAATAGAGTCAGTTCATTCTGTGGACAAGTACGCCGCAATAGCTTCGCATTAAGAGTAATGCGGTAATCGCCGCAAAATCTCGGGGTTTGTCCATCCGGCTTTATAAGTGTACTAACTGATGTGGCCCATCGCGAACTTTGTACTGGGACAATTAACCCTGCTTCACAGAGTGACGCAAAACTTTTGCGAAAATATTCCCTTAATCCAAGAGGATGTGAACGATGTTTACAGAAAACAGAATCACCGGCTACTTCCGAATGAACAGGCGGGATTTTCGTTTCACCAGATGTCACTGAAGAATCGTGCAATAAACCACGAAGTTGTGTGTATGTAGCAGTGCGTGGCAGGAAAACGACGCGTATTTTAAAAGCCTGCATAACTTTAAGACCGAAGATAGTTGGGCCTTGACGAATGACAACTAATTTAAACTCAACAGAGTTAGAATGCCTATATAACATCCCATCAACGGAAGAGTATGTCCAGTAATACCTTTAAGAGAGATGGATGTAAAATCAGGCTGAACATCAGGGTATAGATGATTGCTAGTCATTTTAGAAATGAGAGAATCCACGCTACCAGTATCAACAAAGAAATGGTGTGACGTATCATTTCCGAAACACAGGGCATTGAATAAGTGACCACTTGTATTCACAGCCAGTGTTAACAAATGGGAAGCTTTTGGGGAGTTCTCAGTGGCATCGTCACGTTTTGTGTTGACGGCAAACACTGCGGATGTGTCCGCCTTCTCCACACTGATGGCATTTAGAATTCCGATGTGGACAAGTATACCGAGAATGCAGCTTCCCACAGGTAACACATTGTCTAATCTTGTGATTTAGTAATGAGCGTGTGCATCACACGCATGATGTGCGTGCTCTCGGTTCATTTGGAATAATCCTCTCTAACTTCTCTTCATCTTCACGCAACGTAGTCGGGGCACGCTTATTCGAACTAAATTTAACAGTGCTAAGCAGCGATCTATCATACGTGAAATCACCTTATACCACTCACGTTTTAACCATCATTAACGGATTTGATTGTCACTCTCGATTGAACACAGGTGGATAACTCATTCACCTTTTGCCCATTGCCCTTCTGTGTATTACCATTCGGTACAGAATTCACGAGGTAGTCCGAAAAGCCTAAGCTAACTCCAATCCGGCCTTTCTCAACGCATCCGTAAAAGAATTTGTGATCACGCGATCCGTATTCACAGCTGTGTAGCTTCATTTACTGGGACCCAAAACAACAGTGCCTAACATCGATCGATCAACCGACCAACACTTTAACGTGTGTGTACGAGGGAACCCTGGGAACAGCCAGCGCGCCACGCTGACTCACACTTACGTTGACGCGGGAAGCTGAAGTAACAACCGCGTGGCCTTAAAACAGCACGCGCACTGTGAACATGTCTCGTATGCAGAGCAAATGCGAATCATGTGTTAAAGTGGTAAAAAATGGTCTAGTGTGTACCAAATGTTTGAAATCATATCACACTACCTGCCTTGGGACGGGGAGAAAACACAAAACGGTACACTTACACAGCAGGGGCGTTTTGGTTCTGCCAAGTAGGCAATTCTCTCCCAGTTGTTAGCTGTCTAGCTGTGCTACTGAAGAGGTGTGAAAGACTAACAGAAGCGGTCGAGCAACTGGTGAGCGCCAGAGTTACACGCATGGGAGGAAACGGACCTGCACTTATATGTAAAAATAACACCCCGAATTCCCTAGTCAAGCCGAAGAAGCGAGCCAGACATCCTTACCTAGCTCAAACGACTCAGCCTCCAGCAGTACCAGCTCCATTCTCTCTCCCTCCTATAAGTAAAATCATTGCCTGCAGCGCGCCTGCCTCAACTTCTGTACAGTGGGTTGCACCTAGTAGTCCGTTCGCTACACAGTTGACCGTAAGCTACAGTCAACCAGCTATAGTGAACAACCCGGCAACGTACGCAACGGTTGCTGCCAAGCAAATACCGGAAATAGCACCGGTAACCTTTGGGACCGGACTAGAAAAAAACGAAAGTGTCGCAACCCGAATGACTCCACCAGTGCCGTTCACAAATTCACCAAGAACACCGGATACTAAGCCTCCAAATCCAAAACCAGTAGAGACCAGGCGCAACCATGGTGCCTTAAAACTTGTGTGCGCAAATGTCCCCAAATCCAAATCCAATACAATTAATGGTAGGTTGACAGACGATGGAAATCAATGGGGTTCCATCTGTACGTCGATCAGTGTCCATGCTAATCGCATGATATTAAAAAGAACCTCGCGGCACCCAAAAGCGTCGCACTACGACGAACCCCGGTTACTTCGGGTAACACTAAACTCGGCCGACGATGAGGCCGTTCTGCTGTCTGCGAATCGTCTCCGCAACGACTCAAGTGGAGTGTACATACTACCTGAAATCCCGTGGAAAGAACGTTCAGCGGATCCCGCTAACAGAGACAGGTACAGAAAAAGGCAAGTTAAGTACAAATTGATTGCTCATGGTATTCCTGTGCGTACAGATTCCTCCTCCGACGATGCTTAGATGCCCGACCGCGAGCAATGGCACTACATCCGGGCGGCTCTTTCTCTCGTAATTCTCGTGGCCACCTCGTTGACAAGGATTACCATACCACCAAAATGTAAGGGCTGCTGTCCCAGGTTGTTAAAACGTGTGTTGAAATCAGAACAAACGTCGCAAACCCTTCTATAGAACTGGAATAAATTTCGCAACAGTATGCCAACAGAAATTCGTCTGAAAGCAGGGAGAGCACTAGAACATTCTAATGACAATTCAGTGTAGGCGCAACTCTCAACGAAAACGCAGACTGCAGGACCCGACTCGGGGACACTTTCAACAGTAGTCATAATATCCGGAGGAATACAGCAGATCACGGGCAAACACCGAGATCCGGGGCATCTGATACTTGACTACATCCAAACTCGTCTTGAGAGTCTGCAACTCATCCAAAAAACGATTAGTCGCCGACCCTTTATTGGTCGGCGTAAACTCATTTGCTTCATCCATGCAGTCTAACCAACTTTTGGTCTCCGATAAGCTTTCATGCATGTACACAAATGCCCAAGTTCTACTCGGCAAATTAGCTGAATTAAGACTTCGACACGCGTCAGAAGCTTGGGACCTCGTCGCTGTCACCGAAACGTGGTTGCGTTGTGAGATAACGGATGTTGAAATCGCGCTAACAGGCATGTCCGTTGTTCGGAACGGTCGAGCCAACAAATGTGGTGGGGTAGCCCTCTACTTTCGTAACAACATGCATTGCGAACCCATAAACGATTTGGAAACTGACGTACCTGACTCCATTTAGTGGAGTTTCCGGCTGAGAGAGAACGATCTTGCCCTAGTTGAACAATGAACAATGAATTTATACAGATTAAGTAGCGTTGCTTTACAAGTCCCGTTGGATAGTTGGTGGGGATATCAACATAACAATAATGATGATAAGGATAGTAAAATAGTTAATATTTTAAATATGAAAATAAGGACTTGTCGTTTGCTTCGCTGTAGTCCTGCGATTCTCTTAGATGCACAGCACACACAGTTAACAACAAATAATTCCATGGTAAACTCCAGGTGTGGGATGGAGACGTAGTGTTAAGTGACAAAGTGTAAGTAGATGAGTGCATCGTCCAACCGTCTTTTAAATACTGTTAGTGTCGGTGCAGGGACGACCGATTCTGGGAAAGCATTCCACGGGTGACAGACACGAATGAAAAAGAAATTTCTGCGGCACTTCAGACGACTGCATTGTTCTGCGAGTTTTAATGAGTGGCCCCTCAGGTTTGTATTGCTGCTGAGTTGCAGTAAAGGGCGACACACATGATGTGGGTCTCGCAGAATCAAGGATGCCATAATCAGGTTGCCTCGTAGTCTGCAATAGCTTCCGCTGAACATTCCCAGTCGTTGCAGCCTCTCCTGGTAAGAAAGATTACGCATTCCAATTACGTTTTTAGATGCCCCCCCCCCCCCCCCCCCCCCCCCCCCGCCCCGCCCCCCCTCCCCCCCCCCCCCCCCCCCCCCGCCCCCCCCCGCCCCCCCCCCCCCCCCCCCCCCCGCCCCCCCCCCCCCCCCCCCACCCCGCCCCCCCCCCGCCCCCCCGCCCCCCCGCCCCCCCCCCCCCCCCCCCCCGCCCCGCCCCCCCCTCCCCCCCCCCGCCCCGCCCCCCCCCCCCCCCCCCGGCCCCCCCCCCCCCCCGCCCCCCCCCCCCCGCCCCCCCGCCCCCCCCCCGCCCCCCCCCCCCGCCCCCCCCCCCGCCCCCCCCCCCCCCCCACCCCGCCCCCCCCCCGCCCCGCCCCCCCCCCCGCCGCCTCCGCCCCCCCCCCCCCCCCCCCCCCCCGCCCCGCCCCCCCCGCCCCCCCCCCCCCCGCCCCCCCCCTCCCCCGCCGGCCCCCGCCCTCCCCCGACCGCCCCCGCCCCACCCCCCCCCCGCCCCCCCCCCCCCCCCCCCCCCCCCCCCCCCCCCCCGTCCCCCCCCCCCCCCCCCCCCCCCCCCCCCCCCCCCCCGCGCGGCCCCCCCCCCCCCCCGCCCCCCCCCCCCCCCCTCCCCCCCCTCCCCCCCCCCCCCCCGCCCCCCCCCGCGCCCCGCCCCCCCCCCCCCCCCCCCCCCCCCCGCCTCCGCCGCCCTCCACCGACGTTTTGTGGCTGACTCCAGTGCATTAAGGTGTGTTTTCAGCCATGGATGCCAGGCTTGAATTGCGCTATTCGACATGGGGGCGAAAAACGCACTAAGC